TGCCCTTTGACCGTTCGTGATTTCACTGTAGCTAATGTGGCGTATAAATAAAGGGGTGACTAATTATTACAATTACAGCTACAAAAACTTTGCTTAGAAAAAAAGGGGATAACTTTAACTTGAGTTTTGCCCTGCACCAGGACACCAAAATCTAATGATATTGAAGAGGGTGTGTACAAATGTGAATAATAATTATTATAAAGCGGACTGTGCTTCTTTTGCGTGAATATCCTATGTCATGTTGATCTAGTTCTAGAACTAAAACAAAAACCTTGTAATTTTAACTTGTACAAAGTAAAACATGTTTTTTTCGGTTGCTGATTCCAAAGTAGAAATAGAAAAAGTAGGGGATTATCTGTTTTGGTTCTGATTGTGTACAACGGTATCTCAAGCATGTATTTATTTGCGAAATTTGACGATCAAGTAGCCTCAACTTTGAATTTTAAACTGCTAAACTTGTAGCATACAAACAATATCTGAGTATGAATGTGTACTGTGTACCCGCCAATTTCAAAACATGCGACATGCGAGTAAACTAATAAACTAGATTAGATCTAGATCTAGATCTAGAACTAGATTTTTTTAATAGATCTAAATCTAGATCTAGAGATCTAGCCTATTTCTTGACTCTTTTTGTCTTGTCATTGACCTTGTTCGTTGGGATTATGTGCATTGATTAGGCCTAAGCACGTTGTCAAGGTGAGTCTATTTGTATTGTTTATCCTGTTTAAAATTCTGACATGTCTTTGTTGTTATTGTAAGTTTTCCTTGATGGTAGAATCTAGATCTATATCTAGAAATCTAATAGATCTAGATCTAGAGAGCTAGATTCTAATGTAGATCTAGAAATCTAGTAGATCTAGATCTAGATTTTAGAGAGCTAGATTCTAATGTAGATCTAGATCTAGATTCTAGATCTAGATCTCTAGATCTAGATCTCTAGATCTAGACTAGATTCTAGATCTCCTCTTTCAATGTCTTAACATATACTATGCAGGTTTAATCAAATGGACAACATGAAAACCCGATGACAATGCCAAAAGACGCGCTATTATTACACACCTATTTCTATTAAAAACCCAATTTGTAGGCTCTAGATCTTTGGTAAATTTGTCTTATAGCCTAATTTCTGCCATCCTTAATTAGACTAGAAATCTAGAGGTTACTTAAACTTAAAATACTTGAGCATGAGACGGGAGAGAAAGTAAAATAATGCCCTGCCTTTATGAATAGGTCTAGATCTAGATCTAGATCTAGACATAGGCCTAAGTTGCATCTGTAAATCTAGGCCTAGATCTAGATCTAGATTTAGATCTATATCTAGATTTAGATCTAAATCTTGAGTCTAGATCTTGATTTTTAGATCTAGATCTAGATTCTAGATCTAGATCTATCTAGCTAGAATCTAGAT